TTTGTGTGGGAATATTGTGCCGCCTATAACCAATTTGTTGAAAGCACATAGGTTTGCAAGTCTCTCCCCATTTTCATTTCTTTCTCCTAGTCCATGTCGTCCGATTACATCTTCATATCCTGTGTTGTCCACTCCAACTTTAGCATTTAGATCTCCCATAAGGATGGTGAGGTCCTTTCGTGAGCACTTTGTTATAATTGATTGCAGCCTTTCATAGAACTGATCTTTATCATCGTCGTTGCTATCATTGGTGGGTGCATAACATTGGATAACGTTCATTGTGATCCCTTGCTTCTTTGTTCTGAATGATGCTTTGATTATCCTGGGTCCATGAGATTCCCATCCCACAAGTGCATTTTGTGCTTCTTTGGACAGCATTAGAGCAACTCCCTGAGTGTGTGGAGCATTTTCCTCTTCGTGACCGGAGTACAGCAGCATCTCTCCTGTACCTAGCCTTTGTTGTCCAGTTTGTGTCCAATGGGTTTCGCTGATTCCGAGTACTGCCAATTTGTATCTCCTCATTTCCATTGCTATTTGGCTGGTCTTTCCTGTCTCCCACATTGTCCGGACGTTCCATGTACCTATAAAGAGTGTTGCTCTGGTTGTTAGAAGGTGCATCGGCCTCGTGACTTCCGAAGAATTTCGGCTTTCATCATGAGACGTCATTATTCCTTCAACTCCCAGAGCAGAGTTTAAATGGTTTGAATTATTTTTTCTGGTTAGCGTTTTTTTAGCGAGTTAGCTTTTCTACGGGATGGGGTCGCTAACCCCATGCCCAACCCTCCTCCTTTACCCGGGCTTGGGACCGGCAGTAACTCTAGAAGAGCTACAGGCGGAGTTTCCGACTTCATGGTGAACTTAATTGCTGTATTTCGTTCAGAGGTACAACCTTCAATAGTACGTGCTACATCACCAAATCCCCTCTCAATCTTCTGGGTTTAGATTGGTTCGAAGAACTTGGTCTTGCCAATCTACCTATCAGCACTATCTGTAATCAAGTAAGAACTCCTGCTGCTACACAACAGCATGCTGCAGACCTCCCAAAACGATTCATTGAACTCTTTCAGCCTGGTCTTGGTCTTTGTTCCACAACTGAAGCTGTTTTGAAACTTCAGCCAGAAGCTACGCCAGTTTTTCATCCAAAACGTCCAGTCCCATATGCATCCCTACCTTTGGTCGACGCTGAGCTTCAACGTTTGGAAACTGAAGGTGTCCTTGTACCTGTTTCTTATTCTTCATGGGCTGCGCCAATTGTGGTTGTCAAAAATTCTAATGGTTCCATACGCATCTGTGCAGACTTCTCTACAGGACTCAACGCGGCGCTACAACAGCATCATTATCCGCTGCCGATCCCAGATGATTTGTTTACTATTTTAAATGGTGGTACCTACTTCACTAAGCTAGATCTCGCGGATGCTTACCTTCAAATTTCTGTCGCTTGCGAATCGAGAGAATTGCTGACAATCAACACTCACCGAGGACTTTCCCAGTATACCCGATTACCCTTTGGTATCAAGACTGCTCCAGCGATATTCCAGCAGAATATGGATACTATTCTGGCAGATGTTCCTGGAGTTGCTACGTATCTTGACGACGTCCTCATTGTCGGCTCAACTGCTGATGAATTGCATTCCAGAACATATTTAGTTCTACAACGCCTCCAAGATAATGGTTTTCGTCTTCGTCCAGAGAAATGCCAATTCTTCCTACGCTCCGTTAAATACCTGGGGTTTATCTTTGATGCTTCTGGACGACATCCTGATCCTCAAAATACTCATGCAATCCAGCAAATGCCTGCTCCCACTGATGTCTCTTCACTGCCATCATCTTTGGGAATGGTTAGCTACTATTCAACATTTCTACCATCACTACATGATGTACGATATCCGTTGAATCATCTGCTAGAAAAGAATGCTACTTGGAATTGGTCCACGCAATGTGAGTCAGCTTTTCAAAACTTAAAGCCATGTTAAGCTCCAAACTACTGCTAACCCACTACAATCCGAAACTACCAGTTGTAGTTGCTGCTGACGCTTCAACCCATGGACTGGGTGCCGTACTATTGCATGCTTTTCCCGATGGTTCAGAGAAAGCAGTGATGCATGCTTCGAGAACTCTAACAGTTGCTGAGAAACGTTATGGTCAGATCGAGAAAGAAGCCTTAGCTCTAATTTTTGCTGTCCGACGATTCCACAAATTCATTTACGGGCACCGTTTCGCTTTGCCCACAGACTATAAGCCGCTGTTGTCAATATTTGGATCAAAGAAAGGCATTCCTGTTCATTCTGCTAATCGTCTTCAACGTTGGACGTTGGCGTTACTGAGCTACGACTTCAACATCCAGTATCGACGTTCTGAAGATTTCGGTCAAGCGGATGCATTGTCCAGACTTATCAGCAAGCACTCTACAACTGATGAGGATACACTCATAGCCACAATAGCAACGGAAGATGATTCTGGTGCAACACTATTGGCGAATGCCGTGCGAGCTATGCCTGTTACGGCTGAAAACGTTCGAGAAGCTACCAGAAACAACCCGATTATTCGAGAAGCAATCACTTATGTTCAGAGCCGATGGCCAGTTAAGCAGTTCAATGGTGAGATGCTACACCTAGCGAATCGTCGCAGTGCTCTTTGTGTTGTCAATGACTGTCTGATGTTTGGTGACGGTGTAGTAATTGCAACAACCCTGCGTGCCAAGGTCCTACGCCAATTTCACGCTGGTCATCCAGGGATAAACCGTATGAAATCTATCGCTCGTAGTTACGCATACTGGCCGAACATGGACAAGCAAATTGTCGACTTCGTCAAAACATGTCCACATTGTCAAACAGCTGCGAAACATTCTCCTAAGTTGCCACCAGTACCTTGGCCCAAGTCAGAAAAACCCTGGTCGCGAGTGCATATTGATTTTGCCGGACCCCTAGATGGTACCATATATCTGATACTGGTCGACTCCTTCTCCAAATGGCCGGAGATATTGCCGATTGCACCACCATCTACATTTTGAACCATCCAACTCCTTAACCAGATCTTCGCTCAGCATGGTCTGCCAGAAACAATAGTTACAGACAATGGTTCGCAGTTCACATCCAGTCAGTTTGGAGAATTTTATTTGCAATCATGTCCGTTCTCCGCCCTACCATCCGCAATCTAATGGACAAGCTTGAACGCTTCGTCGATACATTCAAACGTGCCATGCTTAAGGCAAGAGGGGAGGGAACAACACACGATGTTACAGAACGATTTCTAATTGTGTACCGGACGACTCCTCATGATTTATTGCCAAACTTCAAATCCCTTGCGGAGGTGCTTATGGGACGGAAGCTACGAACAATTCACAGTGCAATGACATTCAAGAGAGTATCCCAGCAGAGTCCTCACATGAAGAATACCCGAATTCCTTACGAAGTTGGCGCAAAAGTGTATGTGCGGGACTATAGACATGGGTATGATAGATGGATAGAGCGGGAAGTCGCAAAGAGACGGGGGAAGGTCATGTATGAGGTCAGAGTAAACAAAGAAATCTCGACCAGGCACCATAATCAACTAAGGCCAAGAGAAGCCAAGAAAAAAATTCAAGTTACGAAACGCGTCCCACTCGATTTATTACTGGATACTTTCCAACTTCCGCCAGTACCTGCAACGGAGGCAACTCAGTCATCTAATCAAGCAGAACATTCTTCATGTTCTCGGTCGTTACCTCCAAGGAGGTCGAAGCGCAAACGAAGAAAACCGAAGGACTTTCAGGCAAACCCACAGTTCTGTCGCTATTAATTTTTTTCCAATGGGAGGTGTTAGGATATTCACAGGAATATCCCAAAAATTATCTCGAATGTAAATTGGCATGTTTTCAGTCTCTTCATACATTTTACATGTTATTTCCTATTGGCCATTATTACAGTTGTCCTAACTATGACTTTCATGTGTCGTTTCCCTATTGGTCAATTTTGAGTTGTCCTAATTATAACCTTTACGTGTCCTTCCTTTCCATTGGTTACTGTGAATAGTCATCGTAACTGTATAAATATGCCTTTTCTGTAAGCCATTTTTGTTCTGCTGCTGACCCCATAAACAATTCTCATTTAACGGCTGTGTTCTGATTTATTGGAGTTGGGGAACAGTATTGGGGTCGAACTAGGATATCTGAATTTGGTCAACCGGTAGAATTTCGTGTAGTCCTATCGCAATACGCTATATTTCGCGACGTTACACACTAAGTAGTAGGTTCCAGTTCCATTCTATCGATTCAGATTTCAGCAATCTGGCTTTATCCCTACCATTTTAACTTGAAGTGTGGATTGAGTCAAGTATACGAATGTGTAAACTGCTGGTTTATTAGTTAAAACATTCAACTTCCATACATGTGAAGCCGATTTTTGAATATGTGTTCGGGTCTGTTACATAGTCTAGAAGAGTCTGCTGAAAGATAACTGTATCGACGTAGTTTTCCATTGCCTCCGTTCCATCCTTATAATCCTCTATCACTTGAGATGCGTTGTAGTACTGGTCCTAACCCCAACAAATGAAATGACTGGGAAGATAGATATTGAGCGTCTAATATGGAGAGAAAAGGCTTGCAAAGAAGTCGGGAAGAATCAGTTGTGTCGTGGCTCAGTTATTCAGGTGTGGTCGTTTTTGTGTAACTTATCTCTTTTATTCATATTAAATATGTTGTTAGATCTTCAACCTAACTGTGTTCTCCAGGAGTAGGTTACATCATACTGGTGGTTTTTATGATAGGACGAGTTAGTGTAGACAGTGATGTGACTTTCAAGTAAGATCTTGCAGATTAGGTAGTCACATTATGGCTAATCCGCAATTTTAGGATAACGTCTATTATTACAATGGTACAAATAACGAAGTGAACCATAATTTCACATTGGTGAGCCCGACGTGGTGGTGATGCACATGGTTCTGTTGTCACCTCTCAGTAAGATATCACTTCTTCATTTATTCATGCAGTACTGGATAATCTCGTTTCTGGTGTAGCGTTGTGTATGTCACATCGACTAACTCGCAGTCAATGTCTAATAGCTGAAGTAGATTCCTACCTTATGGTTGCTCGTGCGGTGGCAGCAGCATCCGGTTCAGTCAGTTCTCAAGCTTCTTTTGATAAAACACGTCCAAGTGACATGTCGTTGGAATTAGTAGATAGTGGAAGTGCTGCTAGTAAATCATGTCCATTTAATAACTCACCTCATTCTTTTCGGTCTCGGTTTATTAAAGTTCCTTTCCAGGTAGAAAAATTATTTGACGGTGATGAGCCCTCTTTTTAGTAAGAGCCCCTGGAAGACAAATAAAATCCTATTGAAAGGATAGTCGCTTTAATAGACAGATGGAATAATCGCGTTTATCATTCCACCTGATTAGTTGGGTCATGCCGTATCGATAGACTTCCTGTATTGGCCTATATAGACAACTGATTTTCAAAGATCATTCAAAGTTCAGAAGCAAATCTTCTCAGGGAGAGTATGTTCAGCTAGATAGATAATTTAATTGGGGTTTCAGTGTTGTTCTACTGTCACTGTACCCCCAATTAATCATGTTATATAAGCCAAAAAGTTGTCGTCAGTGGCTACCATACAATGTCTGAAAAATGTTGAGTTTCCCCTTTAAAGCCCGTTATTTTAAACAATCTGGTCGGCATAGCATAATTTGTTGGTGTGTGGGTTTATTGTCTAGTATCAGTTTCAGTTTCAGTATTCATGCTAATTACAAGTGGTTGACTGGTCACGATGTTACTGCCTAATCATTATGATCTTACTTTTCAGTAATACCATTGCATATTTTTTTCGTCAGATATTCAGCAGCCAGTGTGAATCTTCTAAGCTGGTGTTCATTGAGCCTCGAAGATGATAAATGGACATGGTTCATAGTTATTCCATTGTCCTTACTAATGCATCGAAATGGCTATAGCCTTAACGTTATCTAAGGATCATCAACATCTAAGGTATAAGCAGTGATACACTGTCCCATAAGTGTCAGCGAAATGATGCTTCTTCAGGGTTCCCCACCTCACAGGTGCCAGCATCTAGTCATACAATCTTAGCTATCACTGAGCTTCTAGGAATAGTAACCACGTACATGGAAGCAACTAGCCAAACATGTTGCTACCATCAGCGATACAGGAAGGAATCTGTGCAGTGTAAGAGAACATCCCAACAACCTCCAAATGACACCGAATTCCAGGGTGTCCACTGGGCAAACAGTAATAGCTGTAGATGTTAATGACACCCTCAGTTATATCTATTCGTTGTGTTGAATGGATTCTTTGACGTTTGATTTAACATTGTGCAAAGTGTGATCGATAACAACATGAGCTATTATCAATTTGATTCAATAATTTATCATACCTCCGTTTGTTCCACTACCAAATGTTAAGTATTGCTTATCGTTCATATTCAAATGCCTTGCTGCTCCTTGGTTTCTTTCTTTTTTTCTTTCTCTCTTCAGAATCTTGCTCTGAGGGTGAAGCTATGTAACTTCGGACATTCGGAAGAAGCTCGACGAACGCGCTTCCCCAAGTTCATAATTCGCACAAGTCTACTTTATAACAACTCTAAAGTTAAAATTTGCATTGCATAAACAATTAGCACGACCAAAATCCTAACACAATTTTGCCAAGATTGGATCTGATGAGTAACGTGAACGCGATGCCCCTATGGAAAATATTTTGATGAAAACACATTATATCTGAACGAATGAACTGCTATCAACTTTTATAGATGTTTACTAACCAACCATGCTTGGGATGTAAACTGTGAACCAGTATATGTTGTAACTTGTAGATCATGTCTGTAAAAATGGCGTGTACCTGCCCTTGCAGAAATATATTATTGTTTTTGAAAAACGAACCCACCAATGATAAAGTGAAACACTTACTACTACATTAACTTTCTTTGACCATGTATGACTATGTCTTGTTTATTCACCAGTTACAATTTTACGTTCATTGTAAAGAAATACTCGCCTTGTCGGCTCATGTTTCTCATCCTCTAGTTACTGTTCGGTATGTTATTTATGTTTCTCCTCTTCCTTATTTGATAGACTGTACTGTTTATTTTGTATAGTAACGGTGTTAACTTACGTTTTAGAAACAGGTAAAGTTTGTCAAGCTAAATAGCTTACTTGTTGTGACTTTGGCGAAACCAAGTTTTTGTTCTCGACAGCCTAGAGAATAGCTTAGAGCTGCACCTGTAGGAAATTGCTTTCAACACTCTGGCAGAAGTCTATATAGTCCCATAGATATAATCCTGACGAGGCAAATATCAAGCGAGTGAATACACAAATTCAGAGAATTCCTAATTATCGACTTACAAGGGGTTCGGGTATGTTGTGAATGCAGCAAGAGCTGTGAATCACTTATTTTCTCCAAGTGAGGACATATGAAGCAAAAAACAATCGGAAAAAGAAGAAATGCTGGTAAATTAGTAGGAAATGCCGTATTTAGTCTTCATAACTACATTATCATCCTGTGAAAGTTGGTCGAATCAATTCAACCGGTATGAAACTCCATTTCTTGACTTGGAGTGGAAAGCATGTCCACAACTTATTTTACCGTTTACTCTTTCGTTTATAGGTATTCCTCAAGAGGTTTGTTGAGCAACCGAAAATCACTAGGTATTCTAGGGAGGACACGAACATTGTTCTGGTTGTAAGAAGGTTGATGAAGAGCCATCTATATCCTGAAAAGTAAAGATCCAGTACCTAATGAGTTTTTTTCTAAAGTTTCCACTCGAGCATCCGGAGTGGCTTCGTGGACGATCTTCAGGCACACTACACATTGATAACGGATAGAGCAATAAAAAATAGTTCTTGCGACTCAGAGAAAATTACCAGAGAGATCAATTTCGTTTATGTGTAAAGGATGACCTATATCTGTCATAGGACCTGGTCTCCTGTAAAATTTATGATCCTATAAGCAGCATTCAACCACAGAAATGAACACGAAATAATGAAAATACTAGATTCTTCACACAAAATTAATACTAAAAACATATTTTATTCATACGAGAACGAACTTATCAGTTAGTTTACAGCTTATTGTTTTAAGGGTATTGAAAATTGTATCATTGACCTTATTGGTTTGTCGCGTAATAGAGGTTGTTTAAGGTTCCTGGGATGTTTGGCGTTCTCGTAAGTTTGTCTTGAGCTTTTAGTCATATATCTTTATTATTTCTCGAACTCATATGTTCTCAGTGATTCTTTTTACTCTGCGTGACATTTATTGTTCATCATGTGAAAAGTAATCAGTTAACATCATTCCTTTTTTATTTGATATTCCTAGCTGCTTATTAGATCATTGTTACAATGAATTGGTAGTATACTTCCTGATTTTTCAGACAATACTACATTTGGTTGTCGAAATACATCGGTTGTTATGGAAACAAGTAGTTATTAGTAGTTTACAAGTTCCATCACTAATACATGTCATCATTTCAATGTATTTGCCGGTAAAACTACAATATGCCAACGAACTAAAGCGATTTCAAGGGTGACTTTCGTGTCAGCCAATAAAATGAGCCAACAAAACCGACGTTTGTGAGGAATATCGAAAATTTGGAAAATGAAATCATGGGATTGAGTTGTAACTTACGAGGGCTGACAGTCGATCATTTATGTTGGAAATCACCGTACTGCGATTCAAACCCATCTTAACTGTTGACCGTAGTACTCATAGATTCTAGCTCCTAACCTAATAAACCTAACCATAAGATACTGCTCTTAGAAGTTTGTTCCACGAGAAAATCACCCAATTCTTCCGAACTCGGAATATAATGAAAGCTATGAGCCTTAGCAACAAGCTATTTGTGACAGCGTTTTAAATTTGCGCTAATATTTAGCACGGGAGAGCTTAACTTTGATTAGTCGCCCAGATTCATTGTGGAAAGCACTAGAGGCTGGGTAGCATGTGTTAGTCCTGGCAATAGTGATTTCTCAGTTAATCCAGCTTTCTTTTGAAAGCGACGACAGATGGAGCTTTAATCATGTGTTGAAGTAATGAATTCTGTTCGTTGACGATTCTATGGGAAAGTCGATAGCTGACAAGTGATTTATTCTGGGCTTGCGAATTGATTAAAGTATCCTCGTAAATTGTTTGTTTTGGAAGACAAGAAAAATAAGGTGATGTCAGATGTACTAGGTGGTTTAAAAACTTCGATCAAGTCGCCTCTGGTTCTTCTATATGACAATAGAGATAAGTTGAGTTCGGCCAGTCGAGCATCATACAAGAGCTTCGTTATCCGAGGAATCACCTTAGTTGCAGTTCTTTGAACCTTTAACTACAGCTCAATGGCTCATTTTAGGAAGGGGCTAACTGTTTGTATGCAGAACTCGAGTTTAAGTAACATGAATACTGCATACAAAGTCAAAAAGATTTTAGCATCGACATGCCTAAAGGCTCGACTTATTGATCGTGCGGTTTTAAAACTTTTGGCGGCTGTCGCACGGCAGCGTGCAGTAGTTTTTAAGCCTCGGCTATCAATGACCCCTAAATCATTGTTTGTCCGGACAACAAACAGTTCAATGTTATTCACCGTGTATGTATCTGTACTTCAGTGACCAATATGCAGCATAATACATCTGGAAGTATTTTTCCGCAACTGCCAGGTTTGAGACCATTCAGACAATTTCTCCAGGTCATTTTGAAGCTCTAAACCACCACTTTTACTTTTTATCCCTCTCTACACCTTGACATCGTCAGCATGTAACAAAAAAGATGATGATAGGAAACTAGGAAAGTCACTTACATTAAAGTGGAACAACACGCCCCAAAATTGTACCCTGGGGCACACTGCTAAGCACAGTTTCCAAGCTAGACAAATTTGAGTTCATCCATGCACTTCGTTGGTGCCCAACTAGGAAGTCCTTTATCCACATCAATAATTTACCTCAAAGCCCGCGATTTTACTTAACAATAATAATCAACAACAATAATCAACAATGATCAATTGTGAGGAACTTTGTCAGAAGCTTTGCTGAAGTCGATGTAGACTACATCTATAGGTAAACTGTGATAATTAAGCGCACAATAACTTTTACGGGCTACTAATAAGTTAGTGAGACAGGAATAACCTGTTCTAAAGCCATTCTGCTCAACAGAAAAAAATCCAGTCTTCATCTAGATATCTGAACAACTTCCAAATAGTATTTTCTAAAGTGTTAACAACCACTCTGGTTAGGTTTTCGGGTTAATGGTTTTTAGGTTTGTGTCTCTTACCTGTTTTGAAGGCAAAATTTACCATGGCATTCTCCTGGTCTTTTGGAAATATACTTTGGGTTACACCTGAACTAGAACATAAGCGACAAAATTTCCAGATTCATTTAGTAACCTAGGGTGCATTTCATCAGGTTCCATTTATTTATTTTTATTTAAAAACAAATATTGGTACAAGAGGGCACCAGATATATATGTGCCGCACAAATCTCATTTGATTTGTGTGAGGGCTGTGATGCTACCCAAGTGCCCAAACCGAAGCAGGTGGTTTTCTTAGGGGGCCACATCCGGAACCTTTATCTATAGGTCTGATCCACAAGTCAGTGGAGCAACGTAAGTAGATGCAGTCACATGGTAGCCAGTGACCTACGATTGATTCATACGCCATTTGTTCCCTCAGGGTACTGGAGTTCATGCAAACCATTGGTTTAGAATCAGAGTTTTCCAAATCACCTAGGTGAACTCGCCGTGTCCACCAAACCCGGTTAAAGCGTCGGACATTCGCTTTTCGTCCTCTCAATTTCGTAAACAACAGTGATGCCACGGGAATACAGTGTGTAGAACTTCCCTGACAGGCTGTATGGGCGTGGCCATGTGGGAGCATTTCAAGAGAGGGCGGGCCCTCCTCACTCCCAGCCGCATCAGGGCATTTGGTGGCTTTGAGTACCTACTTATTCACTTATCTCAGTTCAGATAATTAGAAGAGTAACTTCTCCCTAAACCCATAAAAGATTTGGAAGGTATTTTCGTAACCGTAAACCACTGAGTAACCAACATTTTCAGTTGTCATATATTTATTTAGATACCTGACTTGGTTATTGAATTAAAAAATTATTCAATTTTCCGATTTCATTTTAAACTGTGTGAAGACAATATATTCATTAGTGAATATACTAGGCTGCATGGTATTTAATCCAGTTAAGTCCCGTCTTCTTTTTAATTTCTTGCTTCTTAATGTCACATAATTAAATGTTTGCATTCCGATCACGCCCTTGTAATTTATTTACATAACTGTCTACTTTTGTTTTCTATCTAGTCTACTCTTCTTTCTTAAGTGATATGCGTTACTGGTCTTTTTTAGTTAAACGTTAAACATATATGTACATAATAATGAAAAACGTTTACACTGGTATAAATTCTAGGTTCGACGTCTAAGTACTTCTACTCCGGTGTTGACACTTATACAGGTACGTTTAAAGCATATTATGTTTGGTTTTTTCTAAAGAAAAGTTTTTATTTGTATAACGATTTATTATGTCTTAATTGGGGATGGATTTACGCATATATGTAGTCATATTCGCGATATATTTTGAACAAAATCGAAATAGTCGGTTCACAACCATTTTCACATTAAAACAATGAGAAAGACACTTTCAAAGTTTGTTTAGAAATAAGTTTTATTTATTTCGGAAAAGTTTCAGCAATAATCCGTCGATCTTCACGTTTGTAATACGATGGTGGACATTTTAGTTAGTTTTTCCTACGGAAATCAACTAATATGTGTTTAGAAAAGTGATAATATTTCTGTCCAAAAATCAAAGGGAATAGTAGGACATTTTTTCTAGAAAGTCTATCTCCGATAATTTTATTGCATATGGTGTACAATATTAGGCTTATATAGGCTCATTTTCTGACTTTTTTATTATTTAATGTGAAAAATTGATGATCTTTCACCAAATATATGTGTTAGGCATTCTACTGTTTTTCTGAACACTATGTCGGTCGCCTTCTATGGGAGAGTAAAATTACAGAACTTTTCATGTTCAGAAACTCCAAACTTTCGTAGTAATAATCCTAGTTTCGAACCTTCGTCCCACTCCTTACAATCATTAATGAACATCCCTATTGCGCTTAAACCACGCCTCTAATGTAATTCCACTTTCTGGATTAAATCTAAATTCATTTATTGAATTCACAATAGAATCCGAAGTCATAGTAGAATTAGATATCTGAGTTCTTGGGGATACTGACATATTCTTGACCAGTAGTTAGATAAGAGCACTCTGTTGTTGTAATAAAGATTTTAGAACATCCATTTTATTGTTACAAAATCCATTCTAACTGAATATGTAGGCGTAGATCTGTTTTAACCACCGTCGCCAATGTTATAAGGGTCGGTTTTCTTGTATGCACGAATGGGACGTTACTTTGTCTTAAACGAACATCTACACTAGATCCCCTTTCAGTGTTTATTCTACAGGACTTCAGCACAACCCAGATCAAGAACATGTGGTTAGCCTGACTAGAACGTAAATATATTTCCACACCAGAAACCGACAACAAGCCGACGCAATCCAACAACAATCCGTCAACAATTACAATAATAATAATAAGGATAGGAGAATATATAACTTATCTAACTCCTGTCAGACTGTCTACAAGTCTGACTTAGCAAACAACCAATCATTGTCGTTACCGCCCACACATCACATAGTACACATGTTAAGTCACTTAGACCAGTGGCCCAGATTGTAACTTGGTCTATAGAATTCGATCAGCACTAAAAATGGACTTGATATATATGACGTAGGTCACTATTTGGTGATCATTTAATTGTATTTTTCACAATATTTAGTTAAGACCGATCAAAATTCAGTGCTGAATATCGTCAGAATAATTCCAACTCCTGCTAAAAATGATATAAACATACTCGTTAAATAAGTTCGTGACTACCTGGACTCAGTAGCTCAATGGGATAACTCGTTGAACGTTTAAAGTAAAAAGTACTGAGTTTGAGTCCAATTGTAAACATCGACACTAGCACGAAAATGTCTATCCCACTGACGAGTCCTAAGTAAAATAAAACGCGTGCTATGGATCCCACTGCTAACCATAATCCAATCTATTTCAAATAACTTACAGAAGACATATTTTAGATTGATCAGAATTCAGTCCTGAATATATCAACAATGGAATAAATTAAACCCTTACTGATAATTATATATAAATCAGATTCTCTTTGTTTATTTAGTCAACTACATGCTTCTTCTGTTCTTTTTTTTGTCCTATCAATTTCTCTTAACACAATCCCTATTAGCCTCCTGTTCAAGTGTTCGGTCTAGAAGGACGTTATGCTTCTGCTTTATATTCAGCTGCTACAAAACAAAAAGCATTAGATAAAATCGAAAAAGATATTCAATTAATTAAGAATACACTTAAAAAAGATGTGAAATTACATGAATTTTGTCTTGATCCAAGTTTACAAAGAGCAACTAAAATTAATGGAATTGCTCAAGCATTAGACAAATTAAAAGTGAATGATGCTACGAAAAATTTATTTGGTAATTTCATTTTTCTTATTTTACATTAAAACAATTTGATTTTATAAGGATAATTGTGATAACACTCAGTTTTCTTCACAAAGACCTTTCAAGCCTTCACACCTAAAAGTATATAGTATGTAAAACAGTTAGGCAATATCTGTTTATGTATTTTCATGACCTAGAAATGTGCCCCTCAAGGCAGTGAGGAATCGTGAAGAGATGCAGTCCCATGGTAGCCGGTGATCAACGATTGATTCATACGCTGCTTGTTCCCTTGTTTCCATGTACACTACTGGTTTGGAATCATGGTTTTCCAACTCCATTAGGTGGAGTTTCCATGTCCACCAACCCGGTTAAAGCGCCGGAAATTCGCTTTTTGTCCTCTCAATTTCGTAAACAACAGTGATGCCACGAGAAGGCAGTGAGTAGGACTTCCCTGACAGAGGCTGTATAGGCGTGGCCATATGAGAGCATTTCGAGAAAGAGACCAGACTCTCCGCACTCTCGGCCGTAACAGGGCATTTGGGGGCACTCATTTAAACACTCTCCTTGAATCAACGAACTCTATTTAAACATATGAATCACTGATCCTCTTGTTTTAGAAAAACAACACACCTATCACCACTACGTAAAAGCAATTAATTTAAACGTACTTGAAAGATGTCATAAATACGAAACCGTATAAAGAAATTTCATAAAAAGAGAAAGCAATCTGTAATCTTGAAGATACCGTCGCAGTTTGGGACACTTTACGGGATAATTTCGATGTATCTTGGTTATTATTATTATCAGAAAAAAATCATTCACGTCATCCCCTTTCGAAGTATGGTTCGCTTTAAAAAAATGTTGGGAAAGCCGTTAAGGACTACAAAAGGAATACTTTTACATTGATTATGTTTACAGGTAGTACCAGTTCCTTCAATATTCTAAGTAGGTCTTGTTAACGAGTCCCAACCAGAGCGAAACCTGGGTCTGGGATTTACTATTGATTATCACCTAAGATCAAGGCATTCCACAGGAGATGTCTAGTCACTTAGACCAGTGACAAAATTGTAGCTTTGCTGATAGAATCCGATCAGTTTTAAAGACCGAGCAAACATGATATTGATCACTGTTCAGTGCTTAATAATGTACTGCAGTTTATAGTATGTTATTGATGGGTATTTTTAAATGACTAGAGGATTTACCGTCCTTTGTTTTAATTCATGATGTGGTTTGCTTATTCTCCTATTTTTAACCAGTTATACTTGCTGAAAACGGTCGTTTGTCTAAAATTAATTCAGTTATTGACAAATTTGAACAAATTATGACTGCCTATCGAGGTGAAGTTAGCTGTACTGTACGAACTGCAAAACCTCTAGATAAAACATTAGAAAATGAATTACGGAATGCCCTTAATGGATTTTTAAAACCTGGCGAAAAATTACAGTTAACTTTAGAGGTAACTGTTAATATTATCATTTGTTGAATGTATAGTCTTCAGTTGATCATAATTAATATAAGTTAGTCGAAGTTATGCTATGCGCTATGCTGACTAGTGTAGGGGATGGTTGGAAAAGAGTTAGGGGCGGCCAAACCAAAACGTGGCACCAGTGCTTGAAGTCACTAACTTCTAATCTGAGCCAAGTTGGCAGATGCAGACTACTTGGCTGGGATCCGCATGACTATCGTAACTAATGGGTGGAGAATCTGGGTGACATGACTCAGAATCGATCACAATGGCGTAGGTGTATACACTCTTTATCTTCCCTTAAACCGTAAGATTAAAATTGCTTCATAACGTTCTTCCTTTCTATACTACATCATTATATACAACTTATCTTTTATATATTATCACCACTAAATTAACTATTTCTATGAATCCGGTGTTCATCTTGTTGTGCTAACAAGGTATGGCAACTGGGACCGATGCATAAATATGCCTGGTCCTACGTTGTAGCTGACTGACTGACTACATAACACAGCAAAATGAATAACAAAGGAGCTGAAATAATAATAGTAGTATCAGTTATAGTAAGAAAGACTAAACATCGGAGAATATGATTCGAAAAAATGAACTGGTTTTGAGAAATAAAAATAAATAGAATTTCAGTTCAAGACTTTATAGGTCGCATTGTTGTGTGATTGCCATAAGTTTTCTTCCAACTTATTTCTACTTTAGCCAGCATTGAGTACCAAGTTTACGGTTGCTGGACTTGCGTAACATGTTTCAGTCGATGAAGACTCACATCGTTATCATATAATTTGTCCAGGAATCTAGGCATCACTCATTCAGTGGTATCAAAATACTTAAACAATGCTCTGAAAATACCTATAATCAAATACTTTTGGCATACAATTGTTTTATAACCATAGAATAACGCAAAGTTGACTGCTGTATAGTATACTTATCTCTTTTTTGATGGATGTAAATCTCACCCACTCTTCCAGTAATGTCATTTAACAAAAGCCAAGTTAGGTTTTTAAATCTGTCCCAAGATATATATAGCGCTGGCGAGTCTTTCAACATACATGAACTGATCGACACACTTAGCTGCTTCATTTTGTACAATCAACCTAGGCAGTGACAAAGACTAATTGTGAAGCAACGTTTTGGATTTAAAAGGAGAAAACTGCATTCAAAACGCGTATTCATTGTTACTCTAAACTTTCAAGAGACTACTTTATGTCAGCGTTTTCAGCAAGCTAAACTATGTACTCTGTGTATTGTGTGCGTTCATCACGAAGCTTGAGGATCCTGAATTCAGTTTTTGTTCATATCTTGGGTGAATACTGTTGATGCGGACTCCTATTTTTCAAACCCTAATCTTTCGGATTACTGCTTATACTCTTACTACTTCTACCACTATGGGATTTGAATCGACAACTGCATCTCTGTGCTGATGTGGTATGGCAACTCGAACTGATGTACGTGCGTACGAAGTTCTACGTTGTGACTGACTGACTGACCCATTGGTTCTTTTTTTATACGATTGCCTAACTATGATCATTTTGCGATGTAAACTATAAAATTCAATAATTTTGCTGAGCTTCGTTTAGCATGGTATTTCATAAATTATATTCTAAGCATAATAAATAGATTTTAAGCAGAGATGGGTGGTGACTAGCAGCGAGATTCAGAATACTTGTTTCGTCCTGTTTTGAACTCGTCCGTCGGCTGTACCTGCGTCTCAGAGTTGATCTCCACTCCAGGACTTGAACTGATAACTGTTGGTTTCAAACGCCATCGCATCATCCACTTAGCTACTCAATCCAGATAACCACTAGCTTGTGCAATGGGATGACATTTAATTCATTTTTGTATTGGTTGTTTTAATCTTCCCATGGATGTTTAGGACTGCAATTGATCTTGACTCAGTAGATAAGTGGATAACGCGATGACGTCAGAGTCCCGGAGTAAACATCAACTGTGGGATGCAAATACATCCAGCTAACACGTCCCAAATAAAACGAAACGCGCTTCTCTGATTCCACTGCTAGCCACTATCCATCTCTGCTTATAGTGCTCGTGACTTACTACTGGCAATGTCGAGGGAATCCACACGGGATGGACATATGCCAATAAAAGAAACTGATCAATGCTAATCCTAAATATCAGTGGGAAGATACACATAACCTATATATCTATGAATTAAAGTTATAATAAATAGATGTTTATTATATGTATAACTTGTTTACTAACACAAACTCTGTTTTTTGTTTGTTTCTATGTGCATTTATTTTATCAATAATGTAGATCGATCCATCGATTATTGGTGGTATGGTAGTTAGTATCGGTGATCGTTTTGTTGATATGTCAATTGCTCGAAAGGTTCGCTCACTTCGCGGAATAATGGAACAACCAATTTAAAAAGTCATATAGGTCGAATTTTGAAAAAATATATATAGTTATATATAAATATACATTGGATCATTTGACTTGTAGTCTACTATGTAATTAATAATAATTACCTTTGAAAAAACGTTTGTATGATAGTGTTATCTTCATTCTGAATATGTTTTCAATTAGTCATAAGAAATGCAGCATTTAGCTTATATATGCTTTGATCCAAGTTGAGGTAAGACATTAACACCGTTGGATGCCGGCTCAGTGGTCTATCGGTTAAGTGCTCTGGCGCAAGACCGGTAGGTCCTGGGTTCGAATCTCGCGAAGCGGGATCGTGTATGCGCACTGCTGAGGATTCCGATACTAGGACGAAACGACCATTCAGTGCTTCTAGGTTTTCCTTGGTGGTCTAGCTTCAATTGACTCATGATCTCATCTACAAAAAGATAAATTCATCAAGCTGAACACCAGAATGAATAGAAGTAGCATGAAATAGTAGGCATAGAGAATTTTATTCAAAAAAAAGGAACAAATTCGCATAATGAAAAAATGTATAAGTATTTTAAGACACTGAATGAATTAATGTACTCTACTGCGACCGATTTTGAGCCATGTTATTTAAAATCACCATTCATTGATTACAATAATCATGTACGTAGTCTGCACTTAATAATACAGCCCAATTCAACAGTCAATGACTTCATGGACTGATACCATCTTTATTTAAACATCCTTAGCTTTCACATTTACTCTCACTCCAGAAACCATTACGTGTCGTTATAGGCAGCGATAAGGCATATGTGATATATGCCTCAATTATCTTAGTTAATAGAGATTCAATACTACATCAATCGATCTACTATCTTTATTTGTTACTATTCGTCTTACATCAATATTGCTGATTCAGTAGTCTCAATGTATGCAAGTTAATTTTTAATGGAATATACTATCCTGTTGTTGATATTTCATCAACAGAGACTCAGGAGCTAAGTAGATAATGGGTCTACATTTGAAGCGAAAGGTGCTGGGTTCGAGTCGTGGAGAGTGGACATCAGCAATGAGATCGGGGTATATTCAACTGATCAGTCCCAAATAGCATGGAACGCATCCTAGATTTTTCACACTACAATAACAGGCAGCAAAATAAACAAGTCCTGTTTATTTTCTTGACGATCCAAATACCGAATCTTATCGACATTCAAGATGTCAATGCACTTCCTTATTTACAATGTCTGGCCATTTCCAAAAGTCCTTTTTGTTACTCGGTATTCATAATGTGTATTACATAGTAATAGGTATATACACAGAGAAAGCACAAGTTTAAAAGCAGACGTTGCTCTATCAATGAGAAATTAGACCACTATTCGGTCGATCAATCGTAAATTCATAATTTGTAGAATCTATGGCACTACTGCTTGTTATACAGGCTCAAAATTGATGATCAATATATAATCATTCAAGTCATTGTAATATAATTTATATTTAATAATAACACGGTATTAAAACTTCCTGACTGTTCCAAAATTCTATTCGACACGGATCAGTCAGTCAGCTACAACATAGGACCAGGCACACATATGCATCGGTCCAAGTTGCCATACCTCACTAGCACAACAAGATGAATACCTAATTCATAGAACTAGTTAATTCGATGGTGATAATATACAAAAGAAAGATTGCATATAACGATGTAATACAAGAAGATATGAAGCAATTTTAATGTTATAGTCCAAGGGAAGACAAATAGTATATACCTACGCCATTGTGGTCAATTCTAAGCCATGTCACTCACAGTCTCCAACCATTGCTTACAATGGTCACGCGGACCCCAACCAAGGAGTCTACATCTACCAACATGGCTCAGACTAGAAGTTAGTGACTTCAAGCACTTATGCTATGTTTTGGTCGCCCATAACTTTCCTCGAACCATCGTCAATACTAGTCAGCAATGCGCGTCGTGGTAATCGGTGTTCAGGCATGCGTAACACGGCCCAACCATCTCACTCAATGAAGATTCACAACCTCATTAACTGATTTACCATCATACCCTAATTCCCTATGCCTAAACTCACTATTACTTACCCGGTTATCCCAGGAGATGCGAGACATCTGTGGCGAAATACTAGTAGCTTACGAGTATCTTCTACCCATACTGGCCACGTTTCGCAGCCGTAAAGTAAAACAGAGCGAACTGCTGTGCAGTATATTCGTCCCTTAATTGATAGACGGATATTTCGTCTTCGCCATAGGTGACGTAAGTTAGCAAAAGCCAAACCAACTATCTGAAGTCGTACTAAGACTTTGCCAGACACCAACCCATTAGAGCTGATCATACTTCCAAGATAAATGAAGTTGTCGAAGCGTTCGAGAGTTATTGTATTCTGACTCGAATAGTCCTTTCAACTATTATTCAGCAAAATTTTTTTTTACAAAACTCAACCGCTTTTGTCCACCAAACCAGATATATAATACAACTACTAATCAAAGACTTGAATAAACAATGATATTTTTTTTCTTCAAAGAAGATGATTTACAGAATTGATAAGAAACTTGGGGTATACAATTAATTTACAATAAACAATGATAATTCACGAAAATTTACAAATAGGAAAAAAGAAGTAGAACAAAAATACAAAACATTCAATCTTATGATGCCGTTTATTAAATATTCATCAAAGAAAAGCATGATAATAACTGGTAGTGAATAGAGAGAGAAGTATGATGTAAGGAGATGTGTATATCTATATATAAATAGATTCTGTATACAAATGATACATTAAGATTTTATACATATGTAAGTTAAGATTGACAAAATTGTCGGTAATAAGATGAAACAGCTGATGAAAACAAACAAAAAAGAAAATAGAATGATTTAGATCAACAAATTGAATAAACAAAATTTTTTTTTTTTGACATAAACAAAGATATTACACATATAATATTTACACAGTACATCATTCGGGTCTAAATTGAACCATATCTATATATTTTTGGTTGTATAAAAAAGTAACCCGAGATCAATGTATAGATAAAGTATGATAGAGGTAATAAGAAAAAATGGGTTTGTTTTTTCTTTACTTTCAGTAGAAAATTAAATGATTTGGAATTAAAAAAATGTACATTAGATTAGCAAACTACTAATTATCAATATCAGTAGTAGTAGTAAACGATATATTAAGCGTGAAGCTGCCAATGGTTATTGTGCACAAATAAAGGAATTAAATTGATATATAAATAAAATCTGAATGCTGCATTCAATCCAAGTAAGAAATAGGCATTATTTCAGTTTTCTTTTGGAAGATCTAACGAACAAGTCATACATTTTGGATCTCATAGATTCTCTTCTTTGAATTGTTTCATTTTTTGAACAAATAATGCTTCAACAATTTCGGTACAATTAAATTCTGGTGTATCTTTTGGATAGATTAAACGCGAATTAGTGAATAGACGATTCATATCGAATGAGAAATCTCCCAAAGTTTTGTAAACTTCTGTTTTTAAATTGATTATAACGGAGGGAAGATCTAATTGGTTTCAAATAGAAAAAGTAAACATATGACAACATAAATGCACAGATATACATGTTCTGAAAAAAAAAATTGTGTTCACAGGTATTTTTCCATACATACATATACATGCGTAAATGACAATTGCCACAGAATCCCTACTCAATGCCTTCTCGTGGCGAGGGTGTTGTTCACGAATTTGAGAACGAAAAATGAATGGCAGACGCTTAAACAGAGGGTTGTTGGGTATGAAGGATCTATATAGGAGAGTTGAAATACCGTAATTTTAGACCATTGTTGAACATGGGCTTCAAGACTTCGAGGAAAGAAATGTTATATTAACTTTATGTCGGTCATACACTACCTTTAAACCGTATATCCTAATATCGCCCTATTGCCATATGGATTAGACTGCCAGGTCGAAGACTCGGTGAGTGGTCCCCTTGAGGAAACCCGCCTGCTTCACTTTAGGCAACCCGGTTGTATTTCAGCCAATACACAAATTTAGTAATTTGCGTGATATATATATATATATATATATATATATATATATATATATATATATATATGGGGCCTGTTTGTAGCAGTGTTTGTGTTTAAGTAAATCAGTAAATACATTATTCCGTATGAAATGATATACAGCAAAAAGGAAATAGATATTTATTTTGGTTTTCATGACCTTGAAAAGTCTATACTTTTTATAATGATAACTAATTAAATATTTCGTGAGTATAGACAATTACAATCTACAAGAGATTGCTTATTGACTTAATTCATATGGCAATAAGAGACTGACCAGTTGCAGTCCTAAACATCAATGAGAAAATTCAAACAAACAATACTAAGTGAATTTAAACTTCACCCCATTGCATAAGAAAGTGGTTATGAAGACTCAGTAGCTAGGTGGATAACCCGATGGCGCTTAAAGCGAAAGGTACTGGGTTCGAGTCCCAGAGTGAAGATCAGTTCTGAGATGCAGGTGCATCCAGCTGACGAGTCCCAAATAAAACGAAACGCGCGTCAAACTGGATTTCACTGCTAGCCACTATCCATCTTTGTTTCCATATATTATTTGAAAGCAAAAAAAGAGAACGAATAACTTACTAAATGCATCATCTAAAGATCTAGCCATTGGAAATTTCAAAGGGTCCGGTGTATGAATAAAAGGCCACGACATTTTATGTTGCTAAGAAAAGAAAAGAAAGTATCCAACGATAAAATATAGAAAGAAAAGTATAATTAAGTTTCGAAATATACAAATGTATGTCAGAAGGGGTTTTCGTGGAGATTTTAGTAATATTAGATAGTTGAGATCATGAGTCCAGTGCTTCCAGGTTTTCCATGGTGGTCTACCTCTAATTGACTCATGATCTCAACCATACAAATGTATGTGATAATTTAAATAAAATGTTTATACGCTCCAATAATAACCTGCCTAAACTTAATCGTTAATTTAAATCATATAGCAAAACTGTAAGTTGAATTCTATGGTAGACTAATTATATTCACAATCCTCGCTTCATATCTGCCTTCCTTCCTGTACTATATCCTTATATACAATCTTTCTTTTGCATATTACCACCATTAAATTAACTACTTCTATGAATCTGGTGTTCATCTTGTTGTGCCAACGAGATATGGCAACTTGGACCGATGTATATGTGTGTCTGGTCCTACGTCGTAGCTGACTGACTGATAATCTATCTTAGTACAATGTGATGAAATAATCAAGATCAATGTCAGAAGGTAATTAGAAATAGTTTTAACAATGGTAAAACAAAAACATAACTCCGCCTGTAGCTCTTCTAGAGTTACTGCCGGTCTCAAGCCCGGGTAAAGGAGGAGGGTTGGGCATGGGGTTAGCGACCCCATCCCGTAGAAAAGCTAACTCGCTAAAAAAACGCTAACCAGAAAAA